GGCTCTTGTTAGACAACGCGATGAAAAACGAAACAAAATAAAATAGCGGGAACTCGGGAGAGCCGCCCGACGAAACCAACCTTGGAGTCTGTTCCTGACGGCGTTCGTTTCTGCTTGATTCCTTTCCATCTCAGCCAATCGGGCGTTGACTTCAGCCAGGTTGTCCTCCAATCTGCGGACATGAGCTTCGGCATTAATCTGCAAGGATACAAAGAAGAAGACAACTTCAGAATAACCCAGAGTTCCTGCTTACATTTCAACAAAACCAAACGGCAATCCTTAGAACTGGACTCTGCTGCAAGTAACTAACAGTAGTATGGTACTTGTCGGTCCCCCAGAATTACGAAAGACACATTGAGGCTCTTCTTGTTGTGGCCCACCAGCGGCGCTGGCAGCAGAGTCAGACAGTGAGGAGGTTGGGGAGGAGCATGGGCCAGTCCTGGAGTCTGGGGGAGGCTCGGCCAAGGGCTCTGCATCGGAGGCAGAGAGGGGGCCGAGGCCATCTGGCAGTGATCAGGTGCCTACGGAACTAGACAACAGTGAGGCAGAGGAACAGCTGGAGCCTGTTCCCAATGTGCGCATGCACAGAGCTGCCAGAAGAAAAAAAACAACTCAGAAATCAGGGCCGACTTGGGAGTAAAGCCACAGGTGGACGGTGAATGGCCCCTCCCATAAGAAATAAAAGAGGAGCGAAAGGGGAGGGGGCTTTTGCAGGAAACAATCCATTCGTTCATTCATTTCAGGAGTGTGAAGATCTGTCCGTGAATCTCAGAGACTCTGTGCCAAGTATTTCCTTGCACAGCACATCATTTGGGAAATATTTACGTGGCAGCTTTCCCAGATTGATAAGGTCTGTGGTCATAAATATTCCGTTGAAAGACTGTTTGCCAGGCCTTTGCTGGATGTGAATTGAGAGGAATTCACATTCGTTTAATAAAAGGGGTTTTGTCGGGACCAGGATTCTGCCTCGTGCTTTTTGGGGAAGCCGAAGTCAGAAGGCTTCTAAGCAATATCCTTTATCATTCCTCACCTGTAGACAGAATCTTGCCAAGCTGAAGGGAACTACTTGCATCATTAAAAACATCCTCGGAGGTTCTAGGGAGGAGCTGACCTGACTTTCTCCCTCCCAACCAACCAACTAAACTTTGCTGTCTCTTGGTCCTCTGCTGTGCGGTCCCTCCCTTCTGGGAATTCAGACCCTTATTCCATCACAGTACTGCATTCAGGAGCTCAATCCATCACAGGATTCAGAGACGATCTACCATGTTCCTGACTGCCTATTCAACTATGTTTGGTTGGAGGATGACTAAGAGAAGATGTAGGTTGAGGATCCAGGTTGGGGTTCCCAGCCTCGCACAACGGCGGTTTTTTCGTTCGTTCATCGTACCTTGGACTTCTGGACGTTTTCCATGCTGCTGCTGAGATCATCGATCTCGGCCTTCATGACCTGCTTGTCTTTCTCCAGCTTGGATTTGACCCTTTGAAGGTTCTCCAGGTGTTCGGTCATCTCGGCCATGGCGTCGGTGTGCTTCTTGCGCAAGGTGGAGGCCGTGGCCTCGCTCTGCAAGGCGGCTTCTTCCAGTTCTCGCCGGAGCTTAAGCAGCTCGGCCTCCCGTTTGCGGTTCTGCTCAATCTGGGCGCAAAGAGAAGAGCGGGAATAAGAGGCGTAAGAGGCGTCCCCCCCCTGCCTCCCCTTTGAAATCGTCAATCCCCAACATTGTCTGACCCGCCGTTACTTCCAACGCTTGAAAAACCGTACAAAGAGAGAGGTGGCTGGGTGTCCTGTGAAGGATCCCTTCCTTTGAGACTCAGTTTCTCAGCCTGTGGAATGGGCACGGCACAGCCATCAGCGAGCTTGAGGGATGGAGGTTTACCTGAGCTGTGGTAGCACCTCCAGCTTCTTCAAGTCTGTCGGTTAGCTCTTCCAGTTCCCGGGAGAGGTCACTGCGTTGCTTCTCAATCTACAAGCAAGATATTAATGTTATTTTCTTTTATTAAATGTTTATACAGGAGACTGCAGTTGGGAGTATAAAACTCTTTCTTTCTTTCTCTCCTTCCTTCTTTTTCTTTCTTTCTCTCCCTCTCTCTTTCTTTCTTTCTCTTTCTTTCTCTCTCTTTCTTTTTCTTTCTTTCTGTTTCTTTCCTTCTTTCTTTCTTTCCATCTTTTTTCTTTTTCTTTCTTTTTCTTTCTCGCTTTCTTTTTCTCTTTCCCTTTCTTTCTTTCCATCTCTCTCTCTCTTTCTTTCTCTTTCTTTCTCTTTCCTTCCTTCCTTCTTTTTCTTTCTTTCTCTCCCTCTCTCTTTCTTTTTCTTTCTTTCTCTCTCTTTTTCTTTCTTTCTTTCTTTCTTTCTCTTTCCCTCCTTTTTTTCTTTTCATCTCTTTCTTTCTCTTTCTTTCTTTCCTTCTTTTTCTTTCTTTTTCTCTTTCCCTTTCTTTTTCTCTTTTCCTTTCTTTCTTTCCATCTCTCTCTCTTTTTTCTTTCTCTTTCTTTCTTTCTCTCTTTCCTTCCTTCCTTCTTTTTCTTTCTTTCTCTCCCTCTCTCTTTCTTTTTCTTTATTTCTCTTTTTCTCTTTCTTTCTTTCTCTTTCTCTCCTTTTTTTCTTTTCATCTCTTTCTCTTTCTTTTTTCTTTCCTTCCTTCTTTTTCTTTCTTTCTCTCCATCTCTTTTTCTCTTTCTTTCTTTCTTTCTTTCTTTCTTTCTTTCTTTCTTTCTTTCTTTCTTTCCTTCCTTCTGTTTCTTTCCTTCTTTCTTTCCATCTCTCTTTCTCTCTCTTTCTTTTTCTTTCTTTCTCTTTCCCTCCTTTCTTTCTTTCCATCTCTCTCTCTCTCTCTCTCTTACTTTCTTTTTCTTTTTTCCTCCCTCCCTCCTCTTCCCTTCCTTCCTCCCTCCCTTGCTTCCTTCCTTTTCTTTTTCTTCCCAAATACATTGTCCTAAAAAGTTCCATAAATAAAGATGAGGAGGCATAGCCAAGCAAGGTGGAAAGAGAAAATCAGAGTCAATGTTTCATTTATTTATTTTGGATTTTTGTTTTTTTGGTCCTGCCTTTGTTTTTATAAATAACTCGAAATGGTGAACATACTTAATACTTCTTCCTTTTGCCCCCAACAACAACCTTCTGAGGTGGGCTGGGCTGGACAATGGAAAGATCCAACTCATTTTATCAAAGTGTTCTGCCCCGAGTTGCTGACAAAACAGAGGTTGATTTAAACTTCTAGTCGTGTTTTGGGATAATTAGAAATTCTCAAGAGCCCTGAAAACAAATGATTTCCAAATTCCGGAAATCATGACCTGGAGAATTACCTCCAGAGATCCGGACCCTACCCACTCTCATGGCCTTCCGAAAGGCTATCAAAACCTGGCTATTCTGGCAGGCCTGGGGCTGTTGACCTCTTGACCGAGGTCCAGCCCCGATTAGACTGGGTGCATGATGTGCTTCTTTTAATCTGTTTTCCTCTGTTTGTTTTTAACTCTTCTTTTTAAAATTTATTTTCTGTAAGCCGCCCGGAGTCCTTCGGGATTGGGCGGCCTATAAATTTAATAAATCCAAATCCAATTTCAGAAACAGCTTAATTTTGAAATGTTTTGCGCAGTCCTACAATCCGTGTAAGGATTCTAAAGTGGTTTGGAAGGAGGATAGCCACCATTGTCTTGAACCGAATGGGCCGCTTTGATTATGGAGAAATAGATTTACCTTCGCCCTTATGGATCGCTCTGCTTCTAGTTCTTCTTCCAATTCTTCAATTCGAGCCTATGAGAAGGAAAAGCACCATGAGATGTGAAGCAGTAGGAAGGAAGGGTGCAGGAACTGGGAATGTCTAGTTTAATGAAAAGAAGGACTAGGGGAGACACGATAGCAGTCTTCCAATATCTCAGGGGCTGCCCCAAAGAAGACGGAGTCAAGCTGTTCTCCAAAGCACCTGAGGGCAGGACAAGAAGCAATGGGTGGAAACTAATCAAGGAGAGAAGCAACTTAGAACTAAGGAGGAATTTCTGGACAGGGAGAACAATTAACCAGTGGAACAACTTTCATCCAAAAGTTGTGAATGCTCCAACATTGGACGTTTTTAAGAAGATGTTGGATAACCATTTGTCTGAAGTGGTGTAGGGTTCCCTGCCTAAGCAGGGGGTTGGACTAGAAGACCTCCAAGGTCCCTTCCAACTCTGTTCTGTTCTGAGTTAGCCGATCTGTCCTCGATCTGCCAAACTGTTCAGTGATTGGAGTCAACCTGTCGATTCCTGTTTATTTCCAACTCTCCCCTCTGCACATCTGCCCAATTCAGTTCCTCGCCATTCTCATTTTCCCCCCATTCCTTTCAACCCACGTCAAGACACTTTTGATCAACTGTATTCCTTTTTTAAGGAGAGATTGGAAAACAATTTTGTCTGAAGTGGTATTGAGCCTCCTGCTGGAGCAGCGGATTGGATTCGAAGACCTCCAAGGCCTCTTCCGACTCTTGTTATTCGGCGTTTGGAGGTAGGGTAACTAAGAGACCTTTTAATGCGGCCAAACCAGAGGTGGGTTCCTACCAGTTCGCACCTATTCGGTAGAACCGGTTCGTCAAATCTACCGAACCGGTTAGAAGAGGTTCCACCAG